GGAAGGAGAGCAACATTTCTATATTTAAAATATTACGTACTCATAGGAGGAGCATAGAGATGGTCTTCCTAATTTGTGGATGACAGATCATTGGTTATTATTCAGAATTTCCATTCCTCTTGTAAAAACACTATTATTCACTGAGTTTGATATTTTTATTACTGAGTGAGTATTCCCTATCCTACCCCTGTTATAAGTCCCATTGTGGCATAAACCTAAATTAAAGGTGTAGGTAAGGTAAATTCTCATTTTAGGGCATTCATCAGATCACAAATAACTCAAATTTGTTTTTAACCTATCACATTTTAATGTAAGGAAGTGATGGCAAGTATAAACAGTGGACCTCAAGAATATATTTATATGAAACAATTTTTAGGAAACTTTCCGAAACATCATTTAAGGACAGTTTAATTGCCAATCCCTTCTATATCTATCTTTTTTTAGAATGTAAAATTATGTTAATAGGAAAGATTGGAGACCACTACAAAATTTGCCATGCCCTCAAAAAATCAGAATTTAAATAAAATCAAATTATAATGAGTACAGTTTTGGTGTCAAATTTATTTTAATTTTTTTAGAAGTGGATACTTTATGCATGACAGTTTTGTTAACTTAATTGGTCAGAATATGTTAACAATCTGAATATCATTCATGGCTAACCCAGATAAATGCCCTGTATGTAGATCTTAATATACATTCAGAAACAAATCCATTTTTAAAAGTTTTCTGTGATGCAGACTAACTTTATATGAAAGGTACGTGTGCTTTTGATGCATTTCTTGATTTCTACTCAATGACTTAAGGAATGATACATTTTTTAAATCAAGAAGATTAATAAGAATGAATTAAATTATATGTGGGCAGATACTTTTAATTAAATAAGATACAGTCTAGCTACATGCTTAAAAGCGTGGATTCAGTAGTTGGGTTACATGAAAATAAATCCTAGCTCTGTCACTCAACAGCTGTGTGACCTTGGGCAGGTTCCTTTACTCAACCATGCTTCAGTTTATCCATCTGTTACACGGGAACATTAATAATACCTCCCGCAGAGTCTAGTGGGAAGGACTATATGAATTCAAGCACTTAAAACAGTGCTTGATCCATACCAACTATTCAAAAAGTTTGCCATGATTTTAATGGTTTAATGAAATCAAAATGCTATTATTGGATCTTTCTTCTTACCAGTTAAACCTGGAATTGGAAGTCCTGGTTTTCCAGTTCAGTACCAACATAGACTGGCTTTGTAATCTTCATTTAGTCTGACACGGTCTTCAATCTTTTTAGCTCCAAAATTAGGGAAAGTTGGAAGGTCATTTATAAATCAGGGTGTCTATTAGAATAATAAACCCTTTAAAATAATTCAAAAGTTCACTCAAGGTATCTAATGATACTACAAATGAAAAAGTACTGTGAGAAACTGAACACGGAGACAGAGAAATCGAGATACATCCTGTCTGAGAGAGTTTACCTCCTCCATGCAATGCCATTGTGTCCTATGTTCAGACAAGGAGCTGCAGCATAAATTGTTGGGGCCACTGTGTACAGCTGAGGGGCATGTGAAATCCCTAGCCTCAACTCATCCTCTGAGAAGTGTCACTTAGAGTTCTGCAGTTCAAACCTGATATGCCACTGACCACAAATTTGTCTTCAGGGATATAGGGATAGATGGCTTCCTATCTTTGGACAATCAGCCCTTTTGGCTCTCTGGAGTATTTTAATTCCTTTCATAAAATTAACTCTATGTTTTTTAAAGCCAACAAGCATAGAGTTTTCTTGGGAGCTGAAATTGTGCTTTCTGTTTAGGTGAATTCACCCCTTTCCCCTGACCACTGTCTTTGACACCATTCAGAACAAAGTGTTTCTCAATTGGGGTCCGTCCCTATAGAAAAGAAAATGCCCATTAACTACCAAGTTTCTCTAGACACCAGCAACACTGATTTTTATTGCTACATATTGGAAATATTTAACATTTTCTCTGCTTATAGGAAAGTGATAGCTAACAGGTCCTGAACAGTTACTGAGTCACATTGCTTTCCAAGTGTTTATGTTTAGAAACTCACGTCTTCTTCACCACACCTCCTGAGAGCATTTTTATACCATGTCTCAGGTAGAAAATGCAAAAGAGCCCACTAAGCTCTCTCTGTGAGAACAAGGCTCAGCTGATGCTGACTCTAAGAATCCAGAGCCGAGCAGGTACACTATGACCCAACTCCAGCAATAAACACAAAACAGCACATTTTATAGGTAAAGCAAAAAAAAAAAAAAAATTCCTAACCAAATATTAGAATTTGTGACTTCCCAGGCTGTAACATTCCTCTCTGTGCCATCAGCTAATTTAATGCTTTATGATTTTATTTCAATTCCCCAATGACAGAGAGAGGTAAAGAAAATCCAGATTTTTTTAAAAAAAGAATACATGTTAGCACTTTCTTTTCTTGCTTATAATTTCTGCTTTGGTACATTTCTAAGAAAACTCACCTTCCAATACTTACATACTTAAAAAGTTGTAACAATAGCAAAACAATTAACTAGATTCTCTAAGGGTACCAAACCCACCCCAAATACGGTAAGAGAAAGAGAATCTCCCCTAAGGATGGAACTCATACCTCCCCTTGAATTCTGTTAAAGGACTGTCTCTTATACCACCACTGTCACCTGCTAGTTAAACTAAAAAGAAAAAAAAAAAAAACTATGTCTAGCATCTTCTAATTTGGCCAAGGAAAAATTGATTGCGTCAATAAAGGGGATAGTCCTGCTGCACCTGAATTGTCTGTTCACCTGGTCATCCTGCCTGTGTTTCCATTCTCCCTGTATTGCCAGTGGTAAAGGACTGACACTTTACTAAGTAAGGCAAGCAAGCATGCATCTCCATTTGACAGGGCTCAGTGGTAGAGCTCTCACCTAGCATGTCGGTGAGGTGCTGGGTTTGATCCTCAGCACCACATAAAAATAAATAAATAAAATAATAAAGATATTGTGAAAAAAAAGAAAGGAAACAGTGTGGTTTGATATTTTGGATGAATTTTGAAGCAGTAAAAGGAGCTAAATCTGAATTCTGAATATTTACAGCTTGATATTATCTTCCACAAGATAAGCAAAGGGATATAAATGTAAATTTCTAAAAATATATATTTTAATGTCAAGTTTTTTTTTAATTTTTGTTTGTTTGTTTTTGGTAACAAGGATTGAACTTTGGATGCTTAACCACTGAGTCACATCCCCAGCCCTTTTTCATCTAAAGACAGGGTCTTGTTGAATTGCCTACTGCCTCACTAAGCTGCTGAAGCTGGCTTTGAACTTGTGATCTTTATGCCTTAGCCTCCTGAGCCACTGGGATTACAGGCATGCGCCACCACACCTGGCTCTATTTTAATGTCTTTTAAATCTTTGCTACAAGGAAAAAAATGACAATGACAATAGCATTAGGCAGAATTAACAAAAATTATGATTCTGTGTTGCTTTCAACTATAATGGCCTTGCTATCCAGTTTGGAATGGCTTGAAGCAAAACATTTGTTATGAAAATTTTGATCACCATTACAATATCTGGAAGCCCAAAATGTAGCAAAAGGAATTCCAAATTACTAGACGTAGTGGGACATACAATGCGTACCACCTTTTGGGACAGTATAAGTCACACATGTAACCAAGGCTAGGTGGATCAAGACAAGGACTTTGTATTCACTTTAATTGAAACATTCACTTTATTGAAATGGTAGAGGTTAGGTAAGATGGTTTAGCTTCCCCATTTAACAGCAGGTTGATTTGGGGAGAGCTACTTAAATGCTTTGAGCCTCACTTTCCTTATCTTCAAAATGTGAATAATATTTCCTGCCTTACTGAAATGTAGGATTAAATAAAATGTATGTATCGTTCCCATCAGAAGGCATGGCTCATGCTAGGTGCTCTATAAATAGTCCAGATGCTTGTTTTGTAAGTCTCTCTACCTTGCATTCTTTTTCTGTATCTGTTGCTGATGCTATCTCAATTCCAGTCAGGCTCTTAGTGATTAGATTGTATAGTTCTACCTTGGCAAGGGATCCAATAATCAAGGAAAAAAAAAAAAACATGTTCAAAGGAAATTAGGGTATGAGGTGTGAGAAAGAGAAGGTCAAGGAAAGAAATTTGGGCTATTTTCATTGTATTCCTAAAACTGATACTCACCGGATAGGGGAGTGTAATGTGAGGGTTTCAGTTTCGACATAAAGAAGAGACATCTGCAACTAAAGAGGAGGACTCGGTTTTTTGATTGTGGAATAGACTGCTGGTCAGTACAATCCTCTAGAAAATATGCAAGTATATACAATTCTCTTTCCCCTTTAGGCAATAAATGTTTATGCTCACAAACAGACCTGTAAGCATTCTCTTGATTTCCCTCCCTACAGTTTTGTACAGAAAATGATCCTATTGTAGATTAAAAAGTATATGGACTCTAACACACCATATGAATACATGATACTCCTGCACATCACTGAAAAATGTTTCGATAAAATATGGGGGGAATATTGTAAAGGAAGATCTCAGTCAAAAATCTAGTGCTGTGTGATGTGCCAATTGTTCCCATTGCCAGGGGATGGGAAATAGTGTGCATGGGTGTGTCCCCAGACAAGCAACCTAAGAACAGAGCTAGAGAAAGCTGAGAAAGCTGAGACACAGATGGCAAACGTCTGGGCTGTCCTTCCTGGCACAAGTGTGTTTGTGACTGGCTCTGTCTCTCATGCAACGGCTTCAGCTGGATACGAGCCTAGTGCGTTACAAATGACAGAGGGAATGGAGAAAGTTGTTTCCCATGGAGAGTACAAAGTTCAGGAGGCAAAATGAATCTGCAGGAGAAACTTTCAGGTCTGTGCTCTTCTGGAAACATCACATAATCCTATTCAACCAATAGGATTCTCTCAGACACCACTTGGGGTATATAGTTCACGAGGTGCTTGAAAGAGCTGTCTTTAAATGAAATTTATCCCCCCCCCCGCCCCTGCATTATAATGGGCCCCAGGACAAAGAAAATTTTCCTGTAATTAGAGACTATATTTTGAGTTTGCATGAGGAAGAGAAGTCAGACTTACTCCGGGTGACTCCAAAACATTTTTGGTAAACATTACAGAGAGGACAATCTTATTCCAACTTTTTGACAATTAAGTCCATCTGAAACTGGGATGAATTGAAGGAACTGCAGCAAATGCTAAAGAAGCTCTAGTTGGGCATGTTAAGGGAATTCATGTTTTGGAAAAGAATTGAGCTCAAGACCTGAAATTCTGTTGAAATTTTTGATATGAGAATAAACAACTAATACAGCAGACTTGCATCAATAATAATACATGGAAGCAACTAAACTGCTCTGCTTTTTCTTCCCACTCCATCCCATTCAAAAGCCCTCCCATAAACATATGAGCTCCATGCCAAGAAGAATGGATTCTACACTGGGGACAGATCATGCCTCCAGTGATGCAGGAGGCAGCTGGTTGGAGGGAAGACACAGTAAAGCCACAGTTCCCTGTGGCCTGGGAGCACGCTAGTTCATTTGGCTCTGGTAGGATTCTTTCCATGGCTCTTGCAGGCCTCCTGTGCTGCTTTGCAATCTTGCAGTCAGACTTCCAGATTGTTTTCCCAATCTGTAATCATAATTTCTTTGTTTTACAATTCTTAAAGAGGAAGGCTTTCAGTTAAAATTATGTCAAAATTACACTTGTCATCTTTGATCATAAGACCTGTTGATGGTTTTTGTTTCTATGTTTTCATTACTTGATGCCCTCATGCCTTTCTCTACTCAGCCATCTTTGGCTGATTCTTAACTCTCATTCCTTGAATCTTTCCCTGTTTGTGAATCTTGAATATTCTCCTACCTCCATGCTTCTACAGAGACGTGTGTGGATCCCTACTACAGAATCATGACCAGGACCAGCTGCAAAGTTTGTGCAACCCAATGTAAAATGAAGACGTAGAGTCACTTGTTCCCAAATTATTAAGCATTTCAAAATGACATCACAGAGCATGAAACCAAGTGTGAGGTCTGCTAGGCACAGGGTTCTTTGTGATTGTTCAGATCTCAAGTCCACGGAGCCAACCATACTTACCACACTGTAATCATATTCTGTTACCTGCTTTATGTTGACTTTGAGCATGAATCATCTATTGCCCTTTTTTCCCAATGATACCTAGAGTTCCATTCCCTCCCTCCTCACCCCTTCTCTCCTTCAAATCCCCTCTCTAGGACTTAGAATTGAAAACAAAGATGTAAGAACAATAGGAAAAGTGGGAATGCATTTGTTCATAGGCATGCACTCCAAGACTGTGAAGAAGTTCCTGGTACTCAAATCCTTAGATATAAGCCCATTTTCAAGCATAATTCTCTAGCATTCTTGTCAATCCTGTGAGTTTGTATTACCTGCCATCAAATAATCCTGTAAGTGAGAGGTATAGTTCTTTCTCTCACTGGACTGTGAGTTCTTTGGTTTAATTAAAATTAGTGTTTTATCCATCCCCAGCACTGCAAAAACAAAAATTAAAATGATAGCATACATGCTATAATTTCTTAGTATGCTCTGGCATACTAAGAAACCACAAAATACTTCACTAAATGTACCTGTATAATATTCCATTTAATCTTCACCAGAAAGTTTCAAGGTAGGTATTGCTATTCTCCTTTCTCAGGTGACAAAACTAGGAGTCTAAGGTATTAAATAATTTTCATAAAGTTTCCCAGTTAGTTTTTAGATAAAGATCTTTCAGACTACTTTTTTTTCCGACTCCCAAGACCAAATTTATCCACAGTGGATGCCTCATTTTAGTTTTCTCCTTGCCCAGCACAGTGCTTGGCACATCATATTCCAATGAGTGAGTGAAAAATAGAAGAAGGAGTATTTATGTCCATATCTCATCAAGCTGCACTTTATAACCAATACATAACAACCTGTAACTATAAAGTCAAATTTCTCTTCTCATAAAGTTTGATTTGCCATTCACGACTATGAAAACATTGGAAGATCCACCCTCTAGTTCTGCAATTACCTTAGCATACCAAAACCTCAGTATACTTTATGATTTTTTTTCCTGTGTTTATCTGTGGCTATCACCTTCAGATCAAGCACAATTTCTGGCACAAATGTGAATTAAGAATTGACTTTCAAGGAATAGCCTTACAATTTTAAATATGTTGTCCTCTGCTTTAACAAAGACATTTCTCAAATAATTGCCCTTTACTCGAAATATTTGAGAAAACACTCAATACCAGGTATAAAAAAAAGATACCCAGAGGCTGAGACAATCTAAAAATGTTATTGTACCATACTATACAGCATTGAGGATAAGACCAGAAGATACACTAGTTAAAGTAGTTTTGAATTTTACGTGGTGTCTATGTAACTATAGTTTAAACAGATAAAATACATTTGGCAGATGAAAACAAAGACCATTATTTTTCCCCTTATATATATGTCTAAACAACTCAATGTAAATAAGATGTTACTGAGCAAAGGACTAATCTTTGCTATTCCATGTACAGGTTTCAGAGGTAAAAAAAAAAAAAAAAATTCAATTAATCACAAAAGCTTCCAAACAATGCAAACAGCATTAAGCACAGTAATTATAAGATAAGCATTCAAGCAATTTTCAGTTGATTGGGTGTGGGTGTGCAGAAGTAAACCTACGTTTGCCTGCTGGTGCAGGAATGGCTTACATGCCAATTAGTGGTATTGCTACTAATTATTAAAAAACATTTTAAAGAGTAATTAAAAATTAAATGCACCTGTATGATGGCTCATAACTGTGTTGCGGTAAATTGCTCAGATTTCCCATATCAATCACACAGGAAATGCCAATGATCTGAAGCATCCTGACACTACCTAGCATAAGCCAGGTTGCATATGCATGCAGGCTCCGTGTGGAAGCATGTATGGGAGGCATTGTTTCTGCTCAGAAGTTTTTACAAGTGAATGCTACTAGGCACAGCTAAAGAGGGCAGTACTTGAGGACTTAATCCTTTCCTTCTGACATTAGTCATATCCTTGTGACAAGCCTAGCCTCACGTCAGGACCCACTTCCCCTTTTAAGAGATACACTAAGGAGAACAACTCCAAACCCATCAAATAGCCTTAGTCTTATTCCCACTATTAAGTGTGGGATCATGGTCACTTCACTGATCTTCTTAATCTCAGCTTCCTTACCATTACCTCTGAGGCATGAAGATGGATTAATTAGCCTGGAGGACTCGCTACAATAATAAAATTCATCTCATGACTAAACTAATATTTATATTACATGGACAAGAAATGGAGACTATTAACTGGGTGTTCGTTGAGTTTCAGATTTTTCCATCAGTTGTTCAAGTCCTTGGTCACACATTGAAATCATCTGAAAGCTTTTAAAAACTGTAATGCCAAGGCCTTTTCCCCCAGAGACTTGGGTTTGGTTGGCTGGAGCTGGGAACAGGCATCGGTAGCCTTTCCAAGTTCTGCAGGTGATTCTAATGTGCTCAGAGGGTTACAGCTCACCATGCTGGCTCTGCATACATCAGACCCCTCGTTCTTATTTTTAAGAAATATTCTGAGTTATGTATTTTTGTTCCCATTTTTAAAGACAAAGAATTTTAGCCAGAGAGGTTTAATATCCATTGGTAGAAGGAGCATATCAGAGACAGAACTCAAGTCCAAGTGTCTCTGGTCCAAATAGCCTGAGTTTCAACTTGAAGTATACTATCAGTTTTATAAGTTGTTGATCCAATGCCTGCCATTTCCTTTTATTGATTATTATTTATGTTACCAAAGTACATAACCTTAAATACCTTGTGTTTAAATTTTCTTATCATTCTCAGATATTTAAATAGAGTAATATGCATACGTGGAAGCATGCATTTGCCCATTGTTCCTAGAAAGGATTCTTTTACATACCGGAAACAATATGTTAGAAGTCCAGGTGATGATACTCCATAAAATCATAGCAACTCAGGATCTTTGCATAACCAGATGAGCCAAAAATTCATCAACACTCAGGAGAGGAGATGTTAGCAACTTCTGCAGTCTCACACTAAAATAAAGTACATAATGATAGTGGATGGAGTTGATGGGAACAGTGAGTGAAAAGCAAGGAAATTTCCAGTAGCCTTTCCTTAAAGGCTGTTTCTGTTTTGTTTCTCTTAAGGCTATCACCTCTATTCCTAATGATTATCTCCCGGGTCCCAGGATATTGTTACCACTTACTTAGTTATTATCTCCACTGGAAATCTATTATCTTTTCAAAAGATAAGAAGTAATTTATGTACCATCCTAATTTTATTTACAATATTAATCCTGCACAGCCCAGGTAATGAAAAGCAATCATAATCTGTATAAATGCAGCGAGTCTACTATCAGGTACATCATTAGAGCTCAAGGAAATAAATAACAACAAAAGACAAAAGAAAAACACATCACACAGTGTACCCTATTCCTTTTTTTACTAGAAGTTCTACCACCTACCGATTCACATCCCAACTGCCAACACCCTCACCTGAAAGCAAGAAGGAATTGTATTTTCACTCCAGCGTATAATTGGCAGATCCATATTTGTTTTTGCTTGTTTTTTTTTTCTTTCAGTAAAATCAATGTGCCTTCTTTCTGACTTTCCCTGCCAAACATATCAGATTGTGTGAGGTTTATGGATACACAATAACTCATGGGCAACCTGAAAACTAGGGAGACTGCAAGGAGATACTGGGGAGAAAAAAAAAAACAGTGTATTGAGAAAGCATGAGTGAATAATAGAAGACAGATTTGAGATAATTATTGGAGAGATGACAGAGAACATCATCGTGATTTGTTTTGCCAGGTTGTCATTTAAAAGATAATGAAGAACTATTAAATCATCCTCTCTTTTTTTCTTGAGGATATTAAAAAATAAATGCAATGAATGCACAGATACTAATTATAAATAACAATTACGATAACTTTGGGTAGCTAGCTGCTTTATATGACACTCCCGAAATATTCATTAGGCGAATGCATAAACTCTACCCAGTGGCTTTATAGATCCCTGGCATTAGGTCTGAAGCTATTGTGCAGGAATAGGATGGTGGCTTAACTCAGTTGGGGGTCATTTTATTGCCAATTTAACTGGTGTTAAATTAGTGGGTATTTAACTGTCACTAAAACAATTTAGGGCTCAATTCACTAAAGTATCATTTTTTACTAATATTTTAGTGAAAGTGAAGAATCCATCCTCCCAATGCTGTTGCATTATGCTGGGAGCACTAATGGTTTCTGGTCTACAGTGGTGAAATTTACATTAGCAAAAGTGGGCTGGTTGCCTACCAAGGGGAAAAACAAAAATAATCTCAAGAACTTCGTATCTTGCTGTAGTTTAAAGCAGTAAAACCATTTTAACATCACTTTTCACTGAATTAGGTTTATTTATTTTTTTTTTAGTTTCCTAAATCATGAGCCAAATTAGAATAACCCATTCAATATTTCATGGAAGACTTGTAAGAGTCTTTTATGTAAAATTATTGTGTTGAACTTCCAACTTTTTGTTTTAGAAAAGAAAACACACACACACACACACACACACACACACACACACACTTCTCCACCAACTCAAGAAACATGATCAACTCCAAATTCAGAAAGATTTACAAATGCCACAACACACTTATCTACCAGCAAACATATCATTTCTTTGTTTCACAGGACACCAAGGATGCATTATTCATGAGACCCCATTTCACATGCTTATTGTGTCTGGTGGCAAAGTCCCCGCCTGTTCAGCCTGGGGAAAGCTCAGGCGCTTTGCTGCCGACACAGAGCTCTGTGCCATCCAGGGACCAGCCGTGTGCTCTCGAGTTACTGGAGCAGCGCAGGCAGTTCCAGTGGCCTCAGCTGTGGAGACAGCTGTTTACCCACCGTCTGTGAGGGCAGAAATGTGTGGAAGGCTTCTCCCTAACAGCATGCCCCCCCAACACACCACACATGCATGCACACACACACGTAAACAACTCTCATGCTGTGCATCACACACATACCACCAAAAGGGTGAAGGAGCCCCATGATTTGGGGAGCAGAGTAGCAATGCACCACAGTCTAGAACAACTCTACATCTTGTATGCAAATCGATGGAATGGAGTCTGTGGTCTCCAAATCTAAACATTCTTCTCATTTATGTATCAAAAGGTTTATGCATGCGTGAAATTCAAAATGATTTATTGTTTAGTTATTGCCTTATTTACTCACTTAATGGATTGATCGATGTGCCAGGATCCCACAGACAACAGAGGCTATTTCTAAAAAATGTTTCAAAGGAAATGGATTGCAAACAGGAGTTTACTAGCATAGAAAGTCAGCCCCTCCTCACTGATACGCATTCATAATGAGTTCCTTTTGACTCTCACTTGCTACCTGTCTCTGGCTATTCATTGGCACAAAATACCGTGCCTTGTACACTGTGGGAAGCGGCCGAGATGATAGAATAAAATATTAAGTGTGAAAGGGTAAAATACAGGAAGAAAATCTGAATCATACTCTAGAGCTTTAGCCAACATAAGCATCTATAGTAGGCAACTCTTGCATGGTGCCTGGGCTGGAAGCAATGGAGCCACTCGGCAACAATGGGAGTTATTAGAATTCCATCTGGCATCATCTCATCTCCCACAGCAGAGGGAGGTGCAGACAGAGAAGTCCCAACAATTTGAATTCCTGTTGTGGCCCTAGCATCCTCTGTTTCTCTTGTGGACACCGAAGTTAGTTTCATTTTGTAAAGGACATGCTACACCTGAACTAGTAAATGTAATAAAATGTAATTCTCTAAAAACATTGAAAAGATGGTTACAAGAGAAGTTCCATAAACCTCTTACTAGCTTGTCTTGAATTTTATTTACTACTTTAATAGGAGTTTTAATTTTTTGAATCAATCTTGGTGAACCGAGTGGGGGATTTGTTTATAGAAATTGCATGTTGAATTTGTGCAGAACTCGCACTCCACCAATGTTCCATGCAAACGACATTTATGTAGGATCCCTTAACCTCTTTTCCAAACAAACTCTAATTTGACATAATGCAGCATAGAATGGCACCAGTCATCGGCTTGCATCAGAAATGCATTTTATTTGGATTCAATTCAGACTCTTAACGAACTGGTTCCCGTAAATGCAGCAGATGGGAGTGAGGCAAATGGAAGTGTGTGTGGGGCCTCACACCCAGCATCCACTGCTGCTCCACTGTACTAAAGCCTTTCCTGAGTTAGTTGGTTAGTTAGTTAGCTAATTAGTTAGCACATTCCAGCTGAAACTTTTCATTATAATTAGCATATTTATCTTACCAATCCACCAAATTGAGGCTTCAAGAGCTACAGTCCAGCCAAAGCGAGTAAATTCTTTTCCTTCTCTTTCTCTCTCCTACTGATTAATGTGGTGAATGCTGCCAGAAGATGGTCCAACGGCTTATAAACCTGGCAAAGCTGTAGCCAGACCTTCTTTTCTAAAGGTCAATTAAAAATGCTAGTTGCACTATAAACAGAATTCTCCGTAGGAGAATGCCACACAGTGCCCAAAGTGGTCTCTTAATACAAAATATCAATTTGATTTTCCTCAGGAGATTCACTCTCCTTTTGCAATGCAAATATTTTCAAGTGTACTAAACACGTTTTAGCACCTCAACATAGGCACTAAAACTATTTGCATGCAAAATTACCCAGAGTAGGCAGACAGGCGCAAGCTTATGCTAGCACCATATGTGCTAAAGAATTTGAGCCAGGAAACAACTAGTATCTGGACGTTATTTACAATTTAAATTTAATTTTACATTATTATTCAAATGAGAGCTTATATAGAAAGTCTCTATTAAAATTAATGCTTCACATGGAACGAAATTCACCTAAAATTATATTTGTAATAGTGATTTTTTTCTGGGGTGGGGATGTCCCAGCAACCTAAACCATTCAAGAAGTACATATAGCAACTTTTGTTCCTTGTTTTCTAACTCTACCTGTGGTTCATTTTTTCCTTTGAAACCTCCTCCCAACAAAAGCACCTAAATTAATCTTGATTGGAAAGCCCAGAAGTCAAACCAAAACATAGACACATTAAAGAGCATAAGGGATTTGAGAAAATACGCACTCCCTGAAAATACCACAGAACATTGTCCATGTTCAGATAAACATTCCAAGAAGCTCCACGTGTTCTGTGAACATGGGAAGTAACTTGGATTTAGCATTTAGTTTGCAAACTGCAGTGCACCATACTGTCCCCAGAAAGTGGCACTTCTTTATATACACAGGGACACATTAACCCTCTATTATGCTTCTAGTGTAACCAAATGAAGAGATTGTAAATCTATTGGCAGCAGTTGCACGGTGTGCTTCAGGATCATTTGTTAATTCAGATCAAGCAGAAAACTGTTTTCTTCATTCTCCTCTTGAGTAATTTTCTATTTTAAGTTTAGTAAGATGTCAGGTCTTTAATGTACTTAGTTTAAAAGTTTAATAGTTTAGTTTATGTTCACTTGAGGGGAAAATGCAGATGAATCAGAATGATTATTTCTAACTCTCTCCAACCTTCCTCTTACCTAGAAAGTATGAAAAGTGGATTCTTAGAGGCAGTTCAGAGAAGTGGTACTATGAGTAATCCCTTCCCCAGCTCTTGCTCAGTCATCTGCAGGTTGCTACAATTGCATTTGTTGTGCACAGAACATGTGAGTGTCTGTTAGATAAAGAAAATACTTGAATCAGGTCCTTGGAACTTGTTACTCAGTAATCTATTTTAACTACAAGCTAAGTGCAAAAAACAAAAGTATCTTTTAAATATTAGACTGTGAAATCCATCAAAATCCATGGATATAGATATTAATTTGGGGTAGAAAGACCATTTATAAAAAAAATCAATTTAATCACAAGAACAGCATTAATTATACCCAGAACCTTGACTACAGAGAATTCTTCCACCAGGATTAAAAATGCTTAAATGTATCATAAACCTAGCCTATATAATTTTTCTTTTTAAAACTTGACTTATTTCTCTAGGTCACATATTTTTTTTTCTTCCTTTTTTTTTCTTAAGAACTGAACGAAGAATCTGCTTGCTTTCTTGATTTGCAATCAGTCTTAGAAATGTTGAATCATTGCCTAGGTGCATGAACTCAATTCTGAGCAGCTCTAATTTATAGCAGCCAACATTTATATAACATAACTCTCTAAAAGGGTCCTACAGAAAAACCAGAAATCTGTAGTTGTGTAGAAGGCTTAATGGGTATGGAAAATCTCCACGGTTACACATCTATTCTTGCATATTAATATCATTACATTTAAACGGTGGTTTGATTTCAAACATTGAATTAATTAAGAAGGGAACTTCCAGGTTGTTATAATGCTAAATCAAATGCCAACACCTCCCTCTACTGGATACTAGGAGAAAACATTTGGTCTGTCAACAAGAAAGAAATTCACTGTTATTTACTTCAGCAGCATCTTCACCAAATTAAATAGCTTGAAACACAGCACACTTCTTGGTAAACCTGAAGAATGGTCACTCATAGTTATCAAAAAAACACTAAGAATTATAAAAATAGAAATTAACAGTCATGTGAATTTTATACTATCAGTAAACAATTACTGTCCCCACTAAAACACATCTAGTTACTTCTTAGCACACTCTATTACATAGAGATTAAGATTAGAATATAATTTGGGTCGGGTTTATGGTTACATTTTTTTTTCAAGTTTGATCACAAATGTCAAATTTGCTTTCTGGAAATTGAAAAATCTTAATGGAAGTATCAAATATTTACATGACAATTTCTTGGAGTTCTACAAAAGATCCAAGACCTATCTTCATTGTTAGTTCAATAAGAAATAATATGTGGAGCTGGGGTTGTGCTCAGCAGTAGAGCACTCGCCTAACACATTCAAGGCACTAGGTTTGACCCTCAGCACCACATATAAATAAATTTAAAAAATAAAGGTATATAAAAAAGGAAATAATACATCACTTTATGTTGTATATGGTTTGAAGGTAAAGAAACACTGGATTGTTTCATTTAAATTCAAACGTTTAATATATTACATTTTACTTAAGGAAATAAAATTCAAAAATATAAGATATATTTTCTTTCCAAAGTCCTTGCCCCAGCTCCACAGAGACCACTGTTCTCCACCACCTGAAGCAATCGATTTGGTTTCACTCATTTGGAGCAGCTTCTCCTTCAATTCACCCACTCACTTGGCCTCCTTTTCTTGTAGCCATACTCCCTGAACATAAATGGAAAATGTAACAGCACACTCAGAAGTTTTCAAATCCCACTCATTTCAACAAGTGAGACTTGACACGGCTGATAACGGTAGGCTCATGTGAGAGATTGTAGAGTTTCGACGTAAATGCACTGCGAAGAAAACCTTTCTGCTGTAGAAAGGAAGACTGCAGAGGCAAGACCTTGTTCTCCAGAGGATTCATGTTAGAAAAGCAGTCTACCCCATAGCCCTTTAAGTCTGTCTTGACATACAAACTTTGAAAACAAACTTTTAATTTTTAAAAGTTTATCAAG